GGTGGCTTGCGCCTCGGCACAGTCAAGGATAACGTCGAGGTCGTCCTCCCATAGCTCGACAAAACGCGACTTCTCGACTGTTTTCTCTTCTTCTCCTTCTTTATTTGGTATATTAATCTCAGTTTCAAAACTTTCTGCTGCCTCGCAGAGAACTCCATCATAAATTTCTTCGAACAAAATGTTTTTCGCCACCTCTAACAAAAATGCAGACTAGAGGTAATGTGGCGAAAAACAATGAAACACGCTTTTTCTATGTTTTATACGCTGATAAAACATGGGTTTTCGACCAATCAGAGCGCGCGCAGGGTCCTATCTATATTATAATCGTATTTATAACATAGCCTACGCGAAGCGCACGTTTTGATTGGCTAATACGCTCGATCCATTTCCCGTGGGCTGCACGCTGACGTCAGTTTGTTTATTTGTTCTTTTCCTCGGCAATTTTTTTTCATCGATATTGATGCTTTGTAAAACATAATTCCTCTTTTTCTTCTCCTAAAATATGGAAAAATCTAATAGTTCTCCTGGAGATGAGGAATATCATTCTTGTGAGCTGCCAAATTTCGAGCTTAAGTTTTTTGCCGGGCCTCCACCTAAGAAATTTGCGAATTTAAGCGAGGAGTTGAACAAAGGCACTCGTTGCTAAGAGACTAGACTTTCTGAAAAGTCCTTCGTCTTGTTGATTCAGTACCCGCCGGCCGAAGTACCTCTCGCGACTTCGTCGCTCGCTCGGCCGCTTCGTGACCTTAAAAACGGCCGCTTCGCGGCCTAATATCTTCTACCCTGAGATTCATGAGGTCGACTTGGGGCAAGTCTACTCCGAGACGGACCAATAAAACAACAAACTGGTCTGTATCAACCTTTCGAGGTTAGTAATGCATTGCGGGGATTTTAGAGAGAATTTTCTAGCGATTTGACGGCAGTAAAACTCAGCACAAGTTTGTATTGTAAAACTTTTCTGGCATCGAAAGCAAACACGAAATCCCTCTGTTCCAAAAACGTTAAACGCAATAGTTTTCTAGTTTTCTGATGAATTATTTTAGTTCCTGGGTTTTAGGTTTGCTATAACGCTCGTCGCTCGTCGCTCGATCGTGAATTTCTTTAAGAAACAGCCGCTCGAAGGAAAGACTGCATCGTGCACAAATATAAGCTTACATTACTGACATTTTCCTTTAGTCCTCAGTCTTCTGTTCATTTAAGCTTATTTTACCAAATAACGAAAGTAACAGAGACAATTTTTAAAAGCCATTCACGTGTTCAAGTTCAGCCTTAGACGCGCAACTCATCAAATTTAAAACGAAGTGGAAAGGAAAACTTAGCCCACAAACCTGCTATTGAATAAAAGCATCTCAAACAGCCCAAAGCCAGGGGTGTTTGTTTGCTTTCTTCTCCATTCTCGGCTTTTAAGCAATGTCTGGTTCCATGTTGTTCTTTTCTTTTGCCGAAGAGGCCATGAAGGACAGAGAGCTCAGCCACCAAAAGATTTAACCATGCGCAGTTTGTTTTCAGTTATTCGGAAAACTGATCCAAATTTAAGCTTAACCAATTTTTGAGAAACGCTTTTACCGAATGCAATTTTCGTTTGTCGTCAGCTTGATATTCAGGTTAACTGAGCAGTTTGAAATTGTTTGTTTGCCCGAGAAACTATTAACTCGCTGTGATCCAAGAACAATTTTGGTGTGTCGCTTTCTCACATTTTTGAATGAACATTTTCACGCGGTTGATCGCGCTTTTGACTTCATGTAAGCCGGACGAGATTCAATATATACTATCCCAAAAGTCTCAATGTTATAAAAGAAACGGTAAACGTGCAGTGTGCAACTATCGAGTTATGGATGCACTTGGGAGGTTTGCTAAGCAGTCAAGAAGCTATCGCCTCGTGCGAGTCTTAGGCTTCTTTCGTGCTTAGCAACCTCCTGCGTGTATTCATAACTCGATAGCTGCACGCTGCACGCTTGCCATTTCTTAATTGAAACTCCGTCATCTGAAGCATCAGTGATCCAATACAACAACATGCTGTTTAATGTTTCGGGAGCCATAGAAACCATGGAAATTAGAGGCGTTATGTTTCCATACTTCAAAAACGAAAATCCTCTAATATGCATTACATTTTCACCGGCCTAGTAGTATTTCAAAGAACATACAAATGGCTTAGAGCAGCTTAAAACAACGTAAGTGACAAGTGATAGTTTCGCTACATCTTAAGGTTAAGTGCGTATCATTAGGTCTCGCTAAATTTCAACTTTGAATCTTTTAAATCTACGTTTTGATGATAAATTTGGACAAATTTGATATCAATGTTGACATCCAAAGCTCTACCATCCACATTAGGGTCGTCTGACTAAAAGTCAGTCAGTAGCTATTTTCTCTTTCCTTGCCTCTTGTAAAACAAACAACTGGTCTGTCCTTCACGGTCTTGGTACGAACCGGGGCCACAAGCTTTGCACTTGAGAGTTTCCATGTCATAAAACGTACCAGCGGGACAGGCCACTATGAAACG